CGGAGCTGGGCGTTGGCAGGGGCTGGGGCAGCGGTGCGGGGTCGCCTCGCGCCTCCCGGGGGGACGGGGTCGCAGGCGGCAGAGACGAGGGGTGGAGGCTGACCAGAGCGGACGCGCCCGCTGCCTTGTTTTGGGGACCACATTCGGGTGAGAAGGGCGCCCGGACACCTCGGAGCGTTTCTCTGGATCGCCCAGTAGCTGGGCGCTCCCCGGTCTACGCTGCCCTTGTATGGCCCGCAGCGGTGTCGCGTGTTTCTCTTGGCTCCCAGTCCTGGGTCCCAGCCGCTGTCCGACTGGGGAAGGGGAGGGCTGGGCCATACCCGGTTGGCTGTCCTCATGCCCGGTGCCAACCCGTCCCTGGGGTACTCCAGGCTTCTGCCTCCCAGGTTGACTTTGTTTCTGGGGAAAGGGCTAAATCGGGCTCCACAGCTTCTGCAGGTCCAGCCCCACCCTGCCGTGCTCTAAGCTCTGGGGAGAGGAGTCAGAGTTAGAGGCTTCTGCTCTGGGTTGAAGACCACCTCACCAGCCCTCCTTGTCCCAGAGCCAGTCCACGGCGACAACCCGGGCATCCCAGAGTCCAGCCAGATGGTGCCGAGTGACATCACCTCCTCAAAGGGCTGGCAGCACGCTGGCACCACGCTGGCACCACTGATGTCACTCCTGCCCACTGCCTGGCCCTCGCCCTGACCCCTGGGCAGACTCTGACCCCTCCTTGCTCGCCAGCCTCCTAGGATGGGATCCCCTGAGTGTGTGCAGATTGTTCATTGAGGTGCTGCTTAGGGAGCATGAGATGGGAGCTTTTGGCCAGAGTTGGCCCACTGGGTCTTGTGGGGCATTTAAGGAGGGAGTTTTGGGGGTAGAGTATCGACGTCTTCCCCTGGGGGTGGGGACACAAAGAGGCCTGTGTGCCCCAGCCTGGCACATGCCATGCATTCCCACACTGTGAGCTCACTCCGAGAGGAGGGCGCCTGGAAGGAAAGGGGCCTTCCACTTGGCTCAGAGCCTGGGTTGCCCCTCTCTGCCCGTCTGCCAGCCTCATCTGGAAGGTGCTCAGTGCTTGGTCTCTGCTCCAAGGACCAGGGATCCCCTGGACTGGGACAGAGCTAGCCCGGGGTGGGGTGTAGGTGTGCGTGGTTGAGGGTTGAGAGAGGACAGGGCCCTCTCAGACCCTCCAAGTGCAGGAAGAACAGCTGCAGTGAGCGCTGAGGGAAGGGGATGGGGAACAGCTGGACTGGCCCAACTGCTGGGGCACGCCTCCTTCACCCAGGTGTTCCTGGAGCCGCCGAGGGGCCGGCGCCTGAGCAGTTGGAGGTGGAAGTGGGCAGCACAGCCCTTCTGAAGTGCAGCCTCTCCCATTCCCAAGGCAACCTCAGCCATGTGGACTGGTTTTCTGTGAGTGCGTGGGCTTGGGAGAGAGCAACCCGGGGTGGTGGGGGAGTTGGGGGGCGGGAGGCTCTGCCCCTCAAGTAGCCTCAGAACCCTTGCCTCCTCTCTGTCCCCTCCCCTTAGGTCCACAAGGAGAAGCCAACACTCATCTTCCGCGTGCGCCAGGGCCAGGGCCACAGTGAAGCCGGGGAGTACCAGCATCGGCTCAGCCTCCAGGGCAGAGGGGATACTCTGGCCCTGACTCAAGTCACCCCCCACGACGAGCGCATCTTCCTGTGCCAGGGCAAGCGCCCTCGGTCCCAGGAGCACCGCATCCAGCTCCATGTCTACAGTGCGTCCCCCCTGTTCCTGCCTTCTGGGTCACGCGGGGCAGGAGAAGTGGCGGTTCCATGCCCTCCTCATTCCTCTTCCCTTGTAGAAGCCCCAGAGGAGCCAAACATCCAGGCTAACGTCTTGGGCATCCCTGTGAACAGTGAAGAGCCTGAGGAGGTGAGATATACCCGGCAGGCGGAGCACAAGAGCTAAGATGGGCTTGGTGGAGTCAGAGCAGGGAAGCTCACACGCTGTCTTTCTTAGGTTGCTACCTGTGTGGGGAGGAACGGCTACCCCATCCCTCAAGTCACCTGGTACAAGAATGGCCGGCCCCTGAATGAGGAGAAGAACCGTGAGTCACCCTTTCTGCCATGCTTGTGGTACCACACAGGGGTCACTTCACATCATCTTTTAGTTTTTCACTTAAAGAAAAAAATATCCAAGTGATGCTTGAAAATATTTTCATGAACATTTAAACTGTATAGAAAATCTAGAAAGAAGTTTCTTCCTGCCCCAAACCCTCTTTCAGTAGCAACCTCTTTATCAGTTTGTGTGTGTCCTTTCAAACCTATTTCTATGTATTTGCTCATATATACACATATTTCTAGAACTATATAGGCATTTAAAAAAATTACTGGCGGGGTGCAGTGGCTCAGCCTGTAATCCCAGCACTTTGGGAGGCTGAGGTGAGAGGATTGCCTGAGCCTGAAGGTTGAAGACCAGCCTGGGCAACTTGGTGAGACCTCATCTCTCCAATAAATCATGACAATAACAAAAAATTACTATTAGTGTTTATTTAGTGACAGGGTCTTGTTCTGTCACCCAGGCTAGAGTGCAGTGGTGTGATCATAGCTCATAACTTCTGGCTCAAGTTATCCTCCTGCCTCAGACTCCCAAAGTGCTGGTATTATAGGCATGAGTCACCACACCTGGCTAAGGCTTCTCATTTTTTCTTATCGTCACAGCATTGTTTGCACACATCTTCGTATATGGACTGAAATGCAAATGTTGTCCTAGGGTGGATACCGAGCAATAAAAGTGCTGGGTTGAAGGGTCTCCAGCTTGCCTTTGTACCTGGCCTTCTACAGGGGGCAGGGATCTCCTTAGATGGGGTTGGAGGTGGGGCTGAGGCCAAGCCTTTCTCTCCTTTCTCCCTGCCCAGGGGTCCACATTCAGTCCTCCCAGATCGTGGAGTCGAGTGGTCTGTACACCTTGCAGAGTGTCCTGAAGGCGCAGCTGGTTAAGGAAGACAAGGATGCCCAGTTTTACTGTGAGCTCAGCTACCGGCTTCCCAGTGGGAACCACATGAAGGAGTCTAGGGAAGTCACGGTCCCTGTTTTCTGTGAGTACTAACCTGGCCGGGCCTGATGGAAACTCCTGCCGAGCCCCTCCCCATCTGGCCCAGGGTCAACTCAAGGGCGGAGCTACCCCCTTTGTCTATGCAGACCCGGCAGAAAAAGTGTGGTTGGAAGTGGAGCCGGTGGGAATGCTGAAGGAAGGGGACCGCGTGGAAGTCAGGTGTTTGGCTGACGGCAACCCCCCACCCCACTTCAGCATCAGCAAACAGGTACGGAGGGCTTAGTGCTGGGTGCAGACAGGGATGCAGGCAGACACAGGTGGGAGGCAGGAGGGACGCTCTGCTCACACTCCCATCCTCCCCAGAACCCCAGCACCAGGGAGGTGGAGGAGGAGACGACCATCGAAACCGGGATCCTGGTCTTGGAGCCCGCCCGGAAGGAGCACAGTGGGCTCTACGAATGTCAGGGTCTGGACCTGGACACCATGCTCTCCCTGTCGAGTGAACCTCAGGAACTGCTGGTGAACTGTAAGGGGCTGGGAGCCCAGGTGGGGCCAGCGGGAACTGGCCCTGCCTGCCCAGGCCGACGCCATTGCTGTGCCCCCAGATGTGTCTGATGTCCGAGTGAGTCCCGAAGCCCCCGAGAGCCCGGAAGGCAGCAGCCTCACCCTGACCTGTGAGGCAGAGAGTAACCAGGTCCTCGAGTTCCAGTGGCTGAGGGAAAAGGTATCGGGTGGGTCTGGGGCTGTGGGGAAGGGCTTGATGGGTGGGCGGGGCTGGAGGGGACAGCCGCTTACTCATTCCCAGCCCTCTGACGCATCCCTCACTCCAGACAGGCCAGGTGCTGGAAGAGGGGCCCGTGCTCCGGTTATCCAACCTGCAACGGGAGGCAGGAGGAGGATACCGCTGTGTGGCATCTGTGCCCCGCATACCTGGCCTGAACCGCACACAGCTGGTCCACGTGGCCGTTTTTGGTGAGGTCGTCAGGGCAGACTAGGTCATCCCAAATTGGGTGGTTTTGAGCTCTTTGAGGACAAAAAAACCACATGCTGCCCTGGGGAGCTCCGGCAGGGAGGGGGAGGCCGGCTCGTTGAGTTTGCTGCTTCACCCTTCCCCATCTCCCCAAGGGCCCCCGTGGATGGCATTCAAGGAGAGGAGGGTGTGGGTGAAAGAGAGTGCAGTGGTGAATCTGTCTTGTGAAGCGTCAGGACATCCTCGGCCCACCATCTCCTGGAATGTCAATGGCACGGTGAGCAGGCCCTTCTCATCTTCCCAGCTCTGGCTAAACCCTGCCCAGGCTTCGAGGTCAGGACCGGAGATCCTCCCACCCCCTAAGCCACCTCCTTCCTCGTAGGCGAGTGAACAAGACCAAGATCTGCAGTGTGTCCTGAGCACCCTGAGTGTCCTTGTGACCCCAGAGCTGTTGGAGACAGGCGCTGAATGCACGGCCTCCAACTCCCTGGGCAAAAACACCACCGTCATCTTCCTGGAGCTGGGTGAGGGCCGCATCCCTGCAGAGGACGGCAGGGGACACGCCCAGGCTTGGGCACTAACTTGTGCTTCTCCTAACCCATCTCCCTCTGCCTCCTAGTCAACTTAACTACCCTCACACCAGATTCCAACAAAACCACTGGCCTCAGCACTTCCACTGTCAGTCCTCATGCCAGAGCCAACAGCACCTCCACAGGTAAGCCAGGCCTGGCAAGAGATCAGGGCTGTGCCAGGGCATCTCTTTGGCTCTGTCCCTCCCTAGAGAGCCCTGTCCAAAAAGGTGAGTAGAGGCCTGTCTCCTATCAGCCCTGGGCTGGGTGGGGCAGCGATAACAGTGTGGCAGCCCAGGGCAGGGAGTGACCATGGGAGTGTCTTTGTGGAACAGAGAAAAAGCTGCGCGAGGCGGAGAGCAAGGGCGTGGTCATCGTGGCCGTGATAGTGTGCATCCTGGTCCTGGCAGTGCTGGGCGCGGTCCTCTATTTCTTCTACAAGAAGGGCAAACTGCCGTGTGGGCGGTCGGGCAAACAGGAGATGTAAGCATGGTGCCCGGCCCCTTCCTCCCCTGCCCCTCTCCTGCTGCCCAGCTTGCTGCCTCCTCGGGGACATGCCCCTGCCTGCCCAGAGCCCACTTGCCCCTTAGGAGTGGGACCCGAGCTCGGGGTGCTCCTGCTTCACTGCCCAGCTTCCATCTACCACACCTTCTCATTACTTGTGTCCCTGCCCTGGGCTGGCCCAGAGCACCAAAGCCAGGCATCCATCCCACGTCCTTCCCAACGGGCCCTTCCCTTGGCCTCAAGGTGCCAACCTCTCGCCTCCCTCCCTCCCAGCACGTTGCCCCCGTCTCGTAAGAACGAATATGTAGTTGAAGTTAAGTCAGATAAGCTCCCAGAAGAGATGGGCCTCCTACAGGGCTGCAACGGTGACAAGAGGGCTCCAGGAGACCAGGTAGGAGGCGGTTCCCGTGGCCAGTGCTTGGCCGTCTCCAGGGACTGGGCAGCAGGGGCTAACAGCTCTCTTTCTGTCCTTCATCCTTTGTCAGAGATAGGGTGCAGCCCCCATCCTGCCTTAACACAACTCACAGATGACAGGGCCAGGCAAGTGGCTGAGGCCGCCTGGAGAAAGACCGAGAGCCTACCCTGTCCCATTACCTTTCCCTGAGCAGTGCCTGTGGCCCAAGCCCTAGGTGTGAGGCGTGGCCTCCCTTTCATCAGTGCAGAGTCCAATTTGGGGGCTGTCCCTTCTTCCCTGGCCTGCCATACCAGTACATCCTTGCTTCTTCCCTTGAGGCTGCCTGCACCGTGTTCAGCTTCCGCTGCTGTCCCTCCTGCCTCTCAGTGGTCACACCTTCCAACTCTGGGCACTATCTCCACATCCCCCCCACCCCCCTTATTGCTCCTCCTTGCGTCTAGGGAGAGAAATACATCGATCTGAGGCATTAGCCACCGAATCACGTTCAGCTCCCTTCCTGCCTGGAACTCCCGGCTCCCTGCTCACTCTTCTCCCAGCCAAAGCCTCCAAAGGGACTACAGAAAAGATCCTTGCTCACTTGCAGACCTCCTTTCCGAAGACCATCAGGCTAGAAGGACCACTCTTGGCCCCCGAGGCCTCCTTTTCAGGGACCAATCCACCACCGTCTCCATGTGTTGAGTGAAGCTCATCTCAAGGAGGGGGGCCTCAGTCTCCCAAGAGTGGGCAGGAGTTTCTTGCAGAGCGTGTTTTCTCTTTACACATATTATGGCTGTAAATACCTGTCTTCTACCAGCAGCTGAATGGTTGCCTCTCTGAGCCAGTTTCTTGCTCAGAAGGCTGACTCCAGTCATCCGCTGCACCACTGAGGCCAGGATGCGCCCAAGCCCAGGTGCCTGCTCCCTATTCAAGTATGTTGTTCACATGGGCTGAGAGTTCCCCGGCAGCGTCTAGAAGCAGCTGTGGTGTTGCTGCTGCCACCTTCCTGTCTGCCTCTGTGGAGTCTCCTATGACATTTTTCCTTTGGCCCAAGCCAGGAATTGGTGTCATTCCTTAAAAGATACGTCCCTGCAGTGAGGAAGCTGGGCGCTGTTTTCAAGTGAAGGCAAATGGTCCAAGGCCCCCTTGTAACTCACATGGCTCCCACTGCCCTTCCGAGGGCTCCTGGAAGACTGAAAGGTGGGGTAGTGGGCAAAGATGAGGTCCAGACCGTCCTTTATACAGATTCCAGCTGTTCTATTAGAACCAAACTTCTACAACCAAGCTCACGGGCCAGACTCTAGAAGGGCCCAGATGGGAGAATGGTACTTAGGGGTAAAAAATGGAACTGCTAGAGCTTTGGTGTGTGTGTATCTGTGTGTGTGTGTATATATATATATATATATATGGTTTTGTTAGGTTGTGTGTAAATTTGCAAATTATTTCCTTTTATATGTATATATATATATGAAAAATAAAGCTTAATTGGCCCAGAAATCTTACGTTGCTTTTTATTCATCATGGTACCACAGGAACCTGGGGGCCTCTGCAACGGGGTCACTGTGATGAAGTGGGCCTTGGCATTTGGTCCAAGCCACCCTGTATACTGTTCCTCCACCCCTAGAAGGAGCAAGAACTCAAGTCTGCTACAACAAAAGAAACTTTATTTAAAAATATTTTTTTTACAGACATGGATGCTTGAAAAAGCTCTTTAGTTAACTGTGTATGGAAATGAAAAAAAATTAATAAATAACATTAGTATAACAGACCTCTAAACATTAATACATTGGCAAAACAATGGACTTAAATGAAAATGAAATCTTAAAGCTCTGCTATTCTCTGTAAGAATATTTACCTTCTGTTTTCTTATTCTTTACAGGTGAGAATGATTAAATACCGCTAATATAATTTTTTTTATATTAATGACACATTTTTAAAATAGTCCATGAAACTCTCATCTAAGTGTTGTTTTCTTCTTCACACTGATATACAAATTGGGACTCGCATTCTGGAGAGCATCATGTTCTCTCCAGCCCCACCCAGGCCAAGAATTTCAAAATCTTGAATAAGGAGAAAAAGGAATTGTTTCTATCTCCCGATTCTTTATTAGTTAAAGGCAGGGAAACACTGAGGACAGGGTAAGAGATAAGAAAACTGTCATTATACAGAAAACTTTTTTTTTCTTTTGTTTTTTTTGCTAAAACCTAGTATGGTCACAATACTGAGGACAGGCTTCAGGTATGTGTTCCTTGCTGCCCTTCCCCAAGGAAAACCAAACCCTGCAGGGCACCAGCTAGTGCTTAATGCCTTCAAATGAAAGAAAAGTCATGTCTAATGGGGCGGTCTAGACTAGTTCAGGATCCAGCAGAAAGACAAAAACAAGCCTCCCCTCTCAGGAGAGCCCACCCAACACTTCTCCACACAGCTGGGCAATTAATATAATCAGGAGGCTGGGAGACTTGAAATGGTCCAGAGTATACCTGGAAATTGTAGAACGTTCTGTCTCTTGCAGGAGACAAAGCACTCAACCTGATAACCTAAGCTTCTGATTGAAACCAACCAAATGGTCTGAGGATACGATGCTTCTTTCTTGCAATGAAGCATCACGGCAGGGAAAAGGGGTCACTGGCACACTGCACCTGTGTGCCACCTCTCCAGGCCGAGAGAGTACTCCTTGTCCCCTAGACTCTAGGGACTAATGATAATCAAGATAGAGGAGTTCAGACTCTGGTATTTCCATATTAAGTCCTAAAATGCAGCCTGGGATACAGTGCTGCCTTAGAAAGGCACAAAACATTTGGCTTTTTTTTTTTTCCAGTGTGCTAAAAATTGTTTTGTTTTGAATAAATGAAAAAGATATATAAGGTTAAAGTCCCAAGTCACCACAGCCAGAAAGAGGATGTAGGAGGTACCACATAGCTGCCATGCCCCTACCGCATGTTTCACCACAAGTCGGGCTTTTCTTTCAAGGCCAAGACACTAACCCGTGCTGAGCAGGGTGGGTCAGGAGGCATCTACTTTCACAGGCACTGAGCTGCTAGCTTACTCATCCAGAGACTATGGAAAAGAACACATGGTCTGCAGACTCATAAGTAGTTCCCTGCCTCTTCCGTTTTAAGACAGCCATAAGCATGGCTACCCTCACCCATAACAGGGTCAGAGGTAGGTAGGGAGGAGAGAGCTGACATAGGCACCCAGCACACCCACTCGGCCTAAGCATGGAGGCTGCACAGGGCCTGAGAGAGTAGCACACCGTGTGGACTGAGCAACATTTCTGTGACCTCCCTACTGGCTCGGTGGTGGAAGGAGAACATACGAGAAGCAATGTGGAGGGTCTCTCACAATCACTTTGGGACTGACTTGGGAATATGGGGCCAGGCAGTTAGAACTCTGCTGATTCCTTCAGCTGCCAAATCAGTAGGAGATCTGAGGTTGGCTTTCGGCCTTTGCTCTGTACAAATGCAGGGAGTGGTCAGCCACATTTTTCTCAAGCATTATACTAGGGAAGGGGCAGTGAGTCTCCAAACAGCTGTCAGTCTGTTGGCCAACAGCTGGCTCTTCCACACTGTGCCTTCCATCTGCCTCTGAATGAATGTCCAGGCCTCACTCTCCCAATTGCCCCATCTCGCACTCTTGTGCTACTTTCCAGAACTGAGAAACACTGGCATTTCCCCTTGGAGCCAACCCAGATTTCCTGGGACACCATGAAGGCACATGGCACTGCTGTCCCTCTACTACTTAAACCCAGAGCCTAGACTAGAATATCAAATGCAAAGTCTGTCAGCTCACCCTTCCACATGGGCCTCGATGGATATCTTTGGATTATTAGAGGTTACTTCTGTGTTTATCAAATGACTCTAGTAGTTTGCAAAAGTTTTAAGTAAGGTAGCATGAAATGCCTTACAACTCAGGATAGGCTCTAGGATGAGATAAATATAAGATCAAGAGATTCAGGCAAGCAGAAGCAGAGTTTTTAAAAAGTAAAATCAAAGCTTTTCTACAGGACTGAAAAAGCAATTGGCCAGGGAAGACACAGGTACCCTGGCTAAAGAACACTTGGTAAAAACTCGATTCTGCACTGGAAACTATATTTAATTTGTATCCTGGCAACTGCTCCAACTATTATGTATTCTTACTGGCACTAGCAAAGTAGTTTCTGAGGCACCTAGGAAGACCTGCCTAAGAACTTTCCTGCAGAACTCCCCTAACACAGGGAGGGTATGGAGGAGATAGTCCACGAGCCCAGAGAATGAATGTATTTTCAAGCACTAAAATCTGAAGAGGGCCCAGCAGTCCATGGGTAGTGGCTACATTGGAACTTGTTATTAGATTCTGCTCTATAAATAACATGAAAGAAGGCTAAAGACCTGAGGTTGAATGGAGGCTAGGGAATGCCACCCACGAATAGACTAGTTCTGGAATGGGATAGACTGATCCAAAAAGAGGGAAGAAAGAAATCTTGGATACCAAGACCAATAACGGGAAGAAGAAAAATAGGAAATGAAGAAGACAGTGATGGCCAGACGCAGTGGCTCATGTCTATAATCCCAGAACTTTGGGAGGCCGAGGCAGGAGGATCGCTTGAGCCCAAGAGTTCAAGACCAGCCTGGGCACCATAGTGAGACCTGTCTCTACAAATAATTTCTTAAAAAATTAGCCAGGAATGGTGGTACACCCCTATAGTCCCAGTTACTGGGGAGGGTAAGTTGGGAGGATTACTTGGGCCCAAGACTTTGAAGCTACAGTGAGTTATGACCACACCACTACACTCCAGCCTGGAGGAAGCTCTAAAAAAAATTAAATTCAAATTAAAAATTGATTGGCAGTAGTGGGAGACTGCTGGGGGAGGGGGGAGGCATACCTCATCAACAAAGGTAGCTGCATAATGAAAATTTGTATATCTAACCCTGAATTGTACTCCACATGTTTAAAAATTTTTTTAATTAAAAAAGGCAATGACCAGAATTAAGTTAAATCTAAGAATGTCCTCAATGTCCCAGATATACTTCCATACCTTCCTTGCCACTCTCAAAAAAGCAGGAGCAGCAGCTTACTCCTGGAGTAGAAGTCTTTGGAGAGTATCTCTACCCTGGTCTCTGAGAACCGCCTCCCTCCCAGCTGAAGGAGCTGCTGCTGCTGCTGCTGCTGCCCTGACTCTGCTCTCCCCAGCAAGATTGACTGGCTAGAGTTAGACACCTAGCAACACGCTGGGCTGAGTAGGCTTTTTAAAAGAATATGAAGTAAAAGAAAAAGGAAATCTGTTCACGGCAATCCCTGGAGTTGAAAGGGTGTGTGGACTTGGGGACTGGGGTGCCTATTTTGGGGTCACGCGTGCCAGTAAACAGCTGCGAAGCAGGAGAAAGGATTACGTGCAGCTTCTCAGTTCTAGCTCCATGCAAGAACCAACTGTACTTCCCATCCTGGGTTCCACAAATATCCTGCATCTTTGTAATAATGCCCTCCTTTCGCTACCTTGAACGCTTCTGTTTCTTGCACCCACAGGATCCCTAACCAGGACAGTCAAAAACACAACCTCGACCTCCTTCCACTGCCCACCCTCCTCCATGCATTCGGCGTCTATATGCATACCTAAAGGAAGGCAGTTCACAAGGACTGAGATCAAAGTAGTGATGACAGTGGCTTATGCCAGTTAGAATACTTGAGGCTGACCTTCTACAGCTGAGGGTCTACTGGAATGAGGTGCTGACCCTGAGCTCCAGCATCTCTGGGCTCCCTAACTCTGGGAGGTAATGCTGGCATTTAGAGAACTGACCGAGTTCCATCTACACGACTGACTGGCTCTTGAAAAACCAAATAACTGATTGAGGATCAGGACTCAAGGCCCACTCCTCTCCCCACACTTTCAGTCCTTCTAAAACAGCAGCAGCTGCAAAGGTTGTTGAAGGATTGGAAAACCAATTCCAAATAGTATGGAGGTGATGACGGTCCCAGAAGGGTGACAAGTAAACTTCCCAACAAGGGGATTAGGGATACAAGCAGTTTAGCAAAAAGATCAAGGAAGGCACTAGATTGGAAAGCAGACTATGGGCAATGCTTTACTTAAACACTGAACGCCCTATTGTGCAACTCTAGGTCAACTTACCCCTCAACCCACCAAAGACTCCACTGAAATACTTAAAAATGGGGTGTATCCACGAGCCTTACACCAAGGAACCTCCCAGACACTATCAAAGCTATAGGAGGACAATAGAGGTTAACAGGAAAGTCTTGTCCTGAATTTACCCAGGACAGCTCTAGAAGGAAAGGTAAGTCTACATAAAAGAGCTGTGAATGAAAGTTGTACAGTCTTATTGGGAAGAGCTATTTGAGGGTCAAATGCAAATGTTAAGACAGTCCAAGTACAATCTTCCCAGCATCAATAAACAACTATGTGGTGGTAGAAAAAGCATAGCTGATATTTCTGGCACAGAGTAATCACTCATAAACATTTGCTAAATGAACAGCCAGGCCAATGGTCAGAAATGGTCAGAATACTGTTATTCAGTATTCTGTTATTCAGTGGACAGTGGTCATTCTCGAGACAGAAAGGCCAACAACAAGAAGGGGGACGTAGAGTTTAAAAGGGTCTGTAACTTTCTGACTTTCAAGACGTGAGGTAGGAAAATAGTCAGCATTAACACCACTGCCGATCACCTACAAGGAATAGATCTTGAAGGGAATATACAGCTGGGTTTAAAAGCAAATTTTGCTACAAAAATTCATTTGTAAATTGCTATTTGGACCATAAAACACATTTTACTTTCTGGAGAGGAAACAAATATTTTAAGAATAAAGAACAGTGACCTCTCCTTGAAAAATTTTTTTGAATCCACAAAACAGTTAAATGATACTAATAGCATAGCCTACCGTCGGGCCCTGGTGATGAGGGTCTGTGTAAGATGAAAAGGAGAAGAGAAGAACGGCAGATTCTGTGGAGCAGGGCTTGGAGAGAGAGAGAGGACTAGCGGGAGAGAATGACCATCTACAGGAAGAGGTCACTACATAAACATTAACAGACAAAAGCTGAAACGATAAACTGCCCAGCCTATTATTTAACTAAAGCGAGGTATATCACAGAGCCACACAGGTGTTCTCCACTTTAAAATCCATTTACTTTAGTAGGAGCATGGGAGGGGAGCTGGAAAAGTTCAGTCCTGTTTGCTGCAAAGCAGCGACCTAGCAATGAGGCAAGCTATGCAAAGTTCCCAGGAAGACACAGGGAAAGCAGGAAATGGGGCTAAATAAATTCAAACACACCAGGCACAGTGGCTCACGCCAGTAATACCAGCACTTTGGGAGGTAGAGGCAAGAGGATTGACTGAGCCCAGGAATTCAAGGCCAGCCTGGGCAACTTGGCAAAACCTTGTCTCTACAATAAATCAAAAAATTAGCCAGGCATGGTGGTGCACACCTATAGATCCAGCTACTTAGAAGGCTGAGGCGGAAGGATCACCTAAGACCAGGAGGTCAAGGCTGCGGTGGCCATGAGTGAGCCACTGCACTCCAGCCTGGGTGACAGAGTGAGACTCCAATTCGAAAAAATTCAAACAGCCGAGTAAATATGAATAAATATGAGAAAAAAGGAGAACATCAAAATGTGTGCATATTTTAAAAACCTTACCAACCATTTGCAATTAGGAGGGGAAAAGGGAATGGGCTTGCCAAAAATGGCAAAACCCAAAGTAAAGCCAGTTCATGAAAGGGCAATTTTAGTTAAATTCAGAGCATAGCCAAAGAATTAAAAATAGCCATGCAAATGGGTTATTGGTAACTTAGTCAAAAGACAACATAAGAAATTAAATTTCTGAGAATATCTCAAAACAAGAGTCATGTGAAAACCTCCTGAAAGCTTGCCTGGCAATTTCGGACAGGAACCCAGGTGTGTCATCAAGCACCCAAAGGAAAGACCCTCATGAAATGGTCCAAAACCTTGAATGCTTGCAAATATACATCTGACAAACTAATACTCAAGACCATCAACAGTGCACATGGCTCAACAAAGGGAGCTGCAACCCCAATTTCAGGGCTGCCTCAAAGAGCCGCATCACACTCAATTAAGAAAGGACAAGCCGGGTTCAGTGGTTCAGCCTGTAATCCCGCGCCTTTGGGAGGCTGAGGTGAGTGGACTGCCTGAGCCCGCGGGTTCGAGACCCGCCTGGGCAACTTGACGAGACCTCATCTCTACAATAAATAATCAAAATGAGCCAGGCATGGTAGCGCGTGCCTGTAGTTCCAGCTACTTGGAAGGCTGAGGCGGAAGGATTGCCAGTGCCCAGCAGGTCGAGGCTGTGGTAACCGGGAGCGGCCACTGCACTCCAGTCTGGGTGACAGAGTGAGACTCCAACTCAAAAAAAGAGAGAAAGGACAACATTAACCTGCCCTTAGCCTATAAAGGATGGACAACGTCGACAAAAGATTTGGATGCACTGAAAAGGCAAATGATAAGCAGCCAATGCTTTGTTTTCTTAATAGATCTTCAGACTATGGGTAATATTAAAGAAAATTAAAGGTAATAATAAAGAAAAAAAAATTACAATATGGATAGGCCTGGAAACTGCTACCATTGTTTTTTAGTTCTTTGTCCAGGTCTTCAACATTTAAGCAAAATGCAAAACTGAATGTTACATCAAAATGAAACACTATACATACTGGCTTTTAGAAGAAGATAGTAGGCTACTGTCTCCTATTCACTGCCACTTTCCCCTGCTTCCCTCCCTCCAGTCCAACTCCTCTTCACCTGATGGTGGCCTGTGCTGTTGTCCATCATGAAGAGAAGACACCGGGCAACCAGAGCAAATCAACATGAGGTCCTGCACTGTCTACTCTGGGAATATAAATGGCTCTGAAGCCAGAGCTAAACTGAAAAGATCTAGGAGTAGCTGAATGCCAAGAGAACAGTTCGAACGAGTTTTAGTTCCAAAGATGACAATATTAGAGAGAAAACTGATCTAAAAAGGGTCATTTCTCTGGATCTAAAGATGAAAGCATGATTTAGATTCTGAGAAAGGTAGATTTATCAAAGAGCAGGCTTGCTTCTGATATAGTAGGTTACACACTGCTAGAGAAGTTAGCAAAAAATTCTGGACAGAGAACTAACTGAACCCAAGGGATCATTTATCAGTATCTAAAGGAGTTATTAACTGACTCGGGCGTGGTGGCTCATGCCTGTAATCCCAGCACTTTGGGAGGCTGAGGGGAGAGGATGCCTGAGACCAGCCCGGGCAAGATCTTGTCTCTACAATAAATCAAAAAATTTAGCCAAGCGTGGTAGCACACGCCTGTAGTTCCAGCTACTTGGAAGGCTAAGGTGGAAGGATCACCTGAGCCAGCAGGTCGAGGCTGCAGTGGCCGTGAGCATGCCACTGCACATGAGCCTGGGTAACAGAGTGAGACTCTGACTCACACACAGAAAGGAAAAGGGGAATTATTAACTAATGGCTCTCCAAACTGGACTCTCAGTCTTCTTTATGAACTTGCAATTATACATGCTGCCAGTCTCTACCTCATATTGTCTTTATATAGTAAAGTATTCACCACATGTCATCTAATTACTGTGAACAAGAGTCATTAAAGACAGTACATAGGAGCTAATGTGAAAAAGAAAAGGGAAGGAAAGGAAGAAAGAGACATTACATTCCCAAAGCCATAGGCACAAGAGGAAATCAAATCACCAGTGGCACCACTGTAGGAAAGGTGCTAATTATCAGCAAAATGCTGTGCTACCATGGGTGTTAGTCCCATTACCTAAAGGGAAAAGAAAAAATCCCTTCTGAAAATTTAACCTGACTCATGTTCAAAGGAAGACACCCATAAGCAGAAACTAATTCACTGGGAAGAAAAATTGAACAAATAATCTTTATTGGCTATTTTGTGCATTTAAATAGCATGTAAATGAAACTTCCTAAAAGCTTCGTGGCATCTTGGCCAGAAAGTCATCCTGGAAACAAATGCTTTCCTTCCCATTAAGTAGAAAGACTCATGACCTACATCAGAACACATACCTGGCACCAAGGCAACTGACTCCCACAGACTATTTTCTGGGGAGGGCATGGAATGTATTTGAAGGCCTCTATCTCAAATCAGTCATTATGTAATTAGGATAATTAAAACATCTTAACAAATTCAACGTTCCTATAGAAACAGTACTTTGGAGTGACCAGTGTTAGCTGCTAGTATCAAACATGATTACAATGATATAGCAACAGTACTTTTCCTCCCACCTACCTACCAAACAAACCAACTCCATCACACATAATAAAGAACACCTATAAGCTGCTGGGCCTCCATAAGGCTGGTCACAGCAAGCTCACTGCCAGTGACAGAACACCAAGAAGAAGGAAGAGGAAGGAGCTGATAGGGGAAAGGACAGAGGGAGGGTATTCTAAAAATATAAGACTTTAACTCGCACATGATAATCTAAGCCAAAGGGGAGTGTTGAAGTTGTAATACACACTAGGGTTGGGTCTAATACCACAGTAGATGGAATTCTTTAAAAGATTCCTTCCTAAACCTCTTGTGCTAATTCCCTACCTGGGATTAACACACACAGCAGGTTAATCTTATAATCACAAGGATACACACAACACAGGCAGACAGAAGAGCACGCACACATGTGTGCGTACGTGTACACACACACACACACACACACACACACACACAGACACACACACCCTTAACCCAGGGAAGTTTTTAGTCCTCAATTAGGATTTACAGCACAATATTTGTTCTACGGCTTTCTGCACTATTCCCCAGGTAGGTTACCGTGTAATAAAATCCACACTCTTCTAAGTGGAACTGAAGGACACCTTCAAATGCACTCTCAAGATCTATACAATAAAACATACTAGCTGCTCCACTTTCATTCCACTGCTTTGAAATCTTGGAACCACAGGTGTGATATCCCACAGAGAGGGTAAGACTTCACTGCGAAGTCTCCAAAAGGAACCCTGCCCTTCTAGGTGCCACCCGAGTAAGAGCTCCCAGCTCCCTGGTCCTCTAAAGCTGCAGTAGAGAAATGGTGTGCTAGGTGGCTACGTGGGCAGGAGAAGAAATAGAAACAAATTCCCGGAGGATGTTTTTGGCCATCTCAATGTTGTTGTGGGCAATGACCAGAGCCTTCTGAATGTCCTGGTAGGAGTACCCCTGACTCATGAGATTCTCAATCTCACTGGAGAGCTGAGGCGAGGCGGTGGCAGCAGAAGTGGCAGCAGCACCACCACCTTGCTGACAGCTACCAGCTTTCCGTTCAGAGTTGATTCTCCGAGGGAATGGTTTGGGGGGCCTCTCAGGAACCTGGGAACCCTCAGTGAAGTCTAGAAGAAACAGGAAACAAAATGTTTGCAAATCTTAGGTGGAATCCTCATTTAATGACAGTAATACTAAAAACATGCTAATATCAAGATATGCTTGTCCTCCTGTCAATCAGGTGCTTGTGCTCTTCAGACACAAGGCTGGGTCTTACAGGTTTGAGGGTTTTAGGAGGTGGCTTCCTCCTTATGTAGGAGCAACCTTCTAAATATACTATGCACCTGTTCCACTAACAATAACCATTGCTATCCTAAGCGTATAACATCTGCATCATGCTTCATATTTAGCAACAAGTTCCATACATCTATCATCCAGATTGTTTTTTTAAAAATTCCGAGGGGACCAGAGAAGATACTAAACTTCACTTGTACGAATAAAGAAACAAACAGAAATAAGCTCATTGCAGTGAAGAAGCACTACTCAAGGCTGGGTGGAGATCATTGCCCACTTGGGTAACTGGATGCTGTGTATCTTTTTCACCAGCTGTCCTGAAGGCTGTCTTCAATTTCCAAAGTGACAGCAACTCTGGCTGCTGCCCCACCAGGCAGCCACAGGTGCAAGAAGAACAGTCCCCGATAGTCAAGGCCCAATGTGGGGTGGCTCCAGGCCCATTCAGAATGCACTCGAGCTGGCACACCTCCTTTCCAATGAATGGGCCCAGAAAAAAGGAATGTGTGGTCTGAGCCATCAAACATAATTACTACTGTCACAAGGTATATTCAGAGGAGCTATAAATCCTACCTACTCTCAGCACAGGAGGAGTCACAGTTTAGGGAATAACCTCATTTTCAAGTCTGTAAAATCCTAAAGAGTTTGACTATACTTTAACTTCCTTATTTGGGGCTTTCCTCCCATTTAGACATAGGGTTTAGTTGACTACTTCTACCTACTGACTTACTGTCACCATTAGGAGATATACAATCATTCAGGACAAACCCAAGTTAACCTGGAGACTCACTTGTTGAGGGATCACCATCCAGAGACAACCAACCAAAGGAAGAGCTGGCATTGGAGATATCTGAGAGAGTTCGGCGGGCCAGCACTGCTGGCACAGGTGGCTTAGGGACATCATACCCATCATCCTCATTTTCTGATTCTTCAGGGCCAGTGTTGGTATGGGATGCAGCCAAATTTCCTTCACCTGGAGAGAAGTTTGCTAAGTTATCTTCTTCTTCTGACACACTTTATCTCCTAATACATTTCAATATAGGGATATCCATTTATTCATGTGTGTATACAATAATTTATTTCATTCAACAAAGAGTTATTGAATGTTCACTGTGGGCCAAACACCACATGAGGTCTTGTGGATAGAGATAAAAGAAACAGAAATTAAAATCTGCACAAATCCTGCAGCTCTCTTTTTTGAACCTGTCAAAGGTAACACCTGCCAAGGTTAATAGCCACTAATGTCAAAAACTAAAATGCCATTTTACAGTTTTCATTCAACACTTCTATCTGCATTTCACATTGGGAGATCAGCAAAGGGTCCTGTGATTGCAGGCTTCTTGAACTTTCAACTTGGTAAGCTAGTTAACATGGGAATTGAGTATTCGCCACCCCCACACAAAAGAATTTCATCGATGCAATGGCAATAAAAGGGAGCTGCCAGCATTGCGGGTCCAGACCATATAACACAAATGTTTCCAGGCTCTAGGAAGGACAAAAAAGTACAAAAGGGAACTAGCTGTGTGAACAGGAAATAAAAGGGTGGAGGAAACTTTACTGCCTATGGACCAAAGATATTTTGCCAAAGCATATTATTACAAAGAATTTTCCGCTTAGATTAAGCTATCTCATTAGCCAAATACTACAGGTTCATTCTCACTAGTACATCAATCATTTTTAAAGTAGCAGAGTGGTTACTCACCAAAGGTGCTGTTGTTTTCAGTGACAGATGGCGCCTGAGACTGAATATTATACATTGCTTCATATGTACAGCTATCAATCTGCTGGTCACAATCACATGCTCTGAACCGGAAGGAAAGTGCCATAATGATCTTCAGAAATAGAATTGTTATCTGCAAACTCATTAAGACTCATCTCCTTTTGACAGTATCACTAACAATGTTGTAAGACTGGCATGTGACAAGTTACAGATGTGTATGCTTTTGAGGTTACTGTGCTGCTGAGAAAACATAAGTAGAACTGCTTATAGCTACAAAAGGCTTAACTATTAAGGGCAAGATTTATCTGTCTGCCTTAACCTGGTTGGGTAACACTATGTGCAGGTAGCAAGCCAAGCAGGTGAGGGATGTCAACTGAATTATCCACATCAAAGTCCAGGAGAGGATTGTCATGAGCCTACCGTGAACTCTGGGTTGTGTCTAAAAGCCTTAGAGGCCTAGAGGAAGGAGTCATATACTCTGTGTCCTCCGCACTCTCACACTGCTCCCCAGGTGGCACTTTTGGCACAGGAAGAGGTCTGAAAGAAGAATAAAAAAGATTTTAAAAAATTAAGCTGGAAAATTTTCAAGTATAAAATCAATGGCTTCAAAACAGAAACAATTCAAATCTTACAGAACAAAATACATGCCACCTACAGAACTATTATTTCTACTAAAGAAGAAAGGTAATTAATAAAAAACACACTAACAATTTCATTTTTAGCTGACCAAAAGCGTGGCTATTATGCTGAAGATGTGTTACACTGGGATCGGTGCCTGATACTGGCTAGTCCCATTTCCCATATAAGCTTCATTATAGAGTTACAGTTCTAGAGCTAGTATCCCAGTTTTTCTCCTCTAGGTATGAAACACAAAACAGCAGGTAGTTTTCTGACAATATGCTAGAAATATCTTCCAAATTCCACTTCTAAAATCTACCTATGATTTCAAGGAATATATAGCTTGTCAAAAGTTTTCTCAAACTTCTCATTTTATACAAGTAAAATGTGAAATAAAGAGAGATGAAATGACTTTTAGCATCAATTCTGGGAGATGAAATGACTTTTAGCATCAATAATGGCAAGATCCCAGATCTTCTGACCCCCACACTTCAGGGATCTTGCCATTATACCCACATATAACTTTGACCCAGAAGCTTTTGAAACAAAATTTCTCCTGCCAACCTGCCCTCTGAAATGAGACCAAGACAAAAACAAAAACAAATGTAAGAAAAACACACCCATACAATATAAAACTGTTTCTTGAGGTGTGAATTTATGTTTCTCTTCCTTTCCCCTTTGTACTTTTTTTGGCATATTCTAAATACTCTACAAGAAGCTCACCCCTTGTATTTATTTGCCTGTTTACTTAATGTTTAGTTTTCTTAATTTTAAAGCAACATACACTTATTATATGACACTTAGGCACTATCAAAACTGAACATAGAATATGACAGTCCCATATTACCTACACAGACATAAAAATATGTCTACATATTACTTTTATAATTAAAAATTTAACCTTATGTATGCTTTGTTAAAACTCGGCAAATGGCCGGGCGTGGTGGCTCGGGCTGTAATCCCAGGAAGCAACTGGAGCTGGAACTTTGCAAGAGTTTCCAGCTGAAGACACAGACTGAGAAATCAGCAAGTGTAGGCCGGGTGCAGTGACTCACGTCTATAATCCCAGCACTTTGGGAGGCTGAGGTGAGAGGACTGCCTGAGCTCAGGGGTTCAAGACCAGCCTGGGCAACTTGGCAAGAACTCATCTCTACAATAAATCAAAAAATAAGCTGGGCATGATAGTGTGCGCCTATAGTTTCAGCTACTTAGAAGGCTAAGGTGGAAGGATCACTTAAGCCCAGCAGGTCGAGGCTGCAGTGGCCATGAGCATGCCACTGCACTCCAGTCTGGGTGATAGATTAAGACTACAACTCAAAAAAAAAAAAACACCTCAGCAAATATCCACTTAAGATGTGTGTGAGGGGCCGGACTCGGTGGCTCAGCCTGTAATCCCACGCTTTTGGGAGGCTGAGGTGAGTGGATTGCCTGAGCCCGCAGGTTCGAGACCAGCCCGGGAAGCGAGACCTCATCTCTACAATTAAAAAAAAAAAAAAAAATCAGCCGGGCATGGTAGCGCATGCCTGTAATTCCGGCTACTCGGAAGGCTGAGGCGGAAGGATCACCGGAGCCCAGCAGGCGAGGCTGCGGTGGCCGGAAGCAGCCACTGCACTCCAGTCTGGGCGACCGAGCGAGACTCCAACTCAAAAAAAAAAAAAAAAAAAATGTGTGTGAGGCCGGGCTCGGTGGCTCAGCCTGTAATCCCAGTGCTTTGGGAGGCCGAGGTGAGTGGATTGCCTGAACCCGTGGGTTCGAGACCCGCCTGGACAACTTGGCGAGACCTCATCTCTACAACAAATCAAAAATTAGCTGGGCGTGGTAGCACGCGCCTGTAGTTCCAGCTCCTTGGAAAGCTGAGGCAGAAGGATTGCCGGAGCCCAGCAGGTCGAGGCTGCGGTGGCCGGGAGTGGCCACTGCACCCCAGTCTGAGTGACAGAGTGAGACTCCAACTCAAAAAAAAAAAAAAAAGAAATAGATATAACTTTTCTGACATATATTCCAACAAAAGTACTTATTAACCAAACAAGTACACTATTGGTTTCCTGGTCTCAGAAATTCCAGTTCTAAGAATTTTCCCAAGGAAACCATCAAGGATATTCATTGTTCATAATGCCAGGAAAAAAGGTAAAAACTTCTCAAAAAATGGTGTACTGAATACATTTTGAACCACACATACAGCAATATACCTGGAGTCAACTGTGTCCTTCAGTGCCTTAGAGCAGCAGACACAGTTTTAGCATCAGGGACCAGTTTTGTGGAAGACAATTTTTTCATGAACAGGGGACGGGGTGAGGGGGATCATCAGGCATTAGATTCTCATAAGGAGCACACACCCTAGATCCCTCGAATGCACAGTTCAGGGAGGGTTTGTGTTCCTATGAGAATCTAATGCTGCCGCTGATCTGACAGGAGGTGGAGCTTTGCTGGGCTGCCCTCACCTCCTGCTGTGTGGCCTGGTTCCTAATAGGCTACAGTCCAATACTGGACTGTTTGGGGACCCCTGCCTTAGAGGCTCCAAGCAGGAGCCCACGAGCCCACAGAAGCTTACTTCTGCTTCTACCACAACAGATCTGTTCTGATCTAATCTGCAAATTGGGGTTCCGCTTAAACCAGTCACACTGCTTTACAAATCAGAAATAAGTTCTGTATTAGGGATTCTGAAATTACTGAGGTAGTCTTAATGGGTTGGAGAGAGTGCTATACTTTGACTATATACTCCAGATTTGATATGCTGAAAATTTAATTCCCAAATTCATCTGCTGATGGTATCAGGAGATAGGACCTCTGGGAGGTAATTAGGATTAAGGGTAGGGCTTCTGTTATGGGACTAGTGGCTGTATAAGAGGAGGAGGAGAGGACACTCTTGTCCTCTCACTATGTGATGCCCTCTGCAGTGTTATGATGCAGCAAAAAGGCCCTCATCACATACTGGTGCGATCATCTTGAGAACTTCCCAGCCTCCAGAACCTGAACTAAATAAATATTTTGTTTTTCCCTTATAAGTTACCCAATCTCAGGTATTCAGTTCAGCAACAGGAAACAGACTAACAGAAAGACTGGAATTCCCAGGTATCAAGACAGTCAAGGTGTAAGGGACCAAAAATTCTATAGGAGGGAATAGCAGAGAAATAGGTCTGCAGTTTTGCCTGCAACTTTCCCTATAGTTATAGCTAATCCCTAAGTTATTTATACACGGGGTGAAATTGTGAGAAACCAAGCAGAAAGTAGCAACTGAGAAGATAAACTGATATTTTAGTTGTCTTGCCAAGCAGGAGAAACAGAGTTGAAGTTATCAGATATGGCCTTTAAGTCACTGTAACTTATATGTTCATTTAAGAAGGAAAATGGAGGCCGGGCTCAGTGGCTCAGCCTATAATCCCAGGACTTCAAGAAGCCGAGATGAGTGGATTGCCTGAGCCCATGGGTTCAAGACCAGCCTGGGCAACTTGATGAGACCTTGCCTCTATAATAAAATTTTAAAAATTAGCAGGGCACAGTAGAGCATGCCTATAGTTCCAGCTACTTGGAAGGCTGACATGGAAGGATCTCCTGAGTCCATCAAGTCAGGGCTGCAGTAACCATCAGAGTGCTACTGCACTCCAGCCAGGTCGGTGCGTGGGAGCTGCCACTGCACTCCAGTCTGGGCAACAAAGTGAGACTCCAACTCAAAAAAAAAAAAAAAAAATTCTGAGAGCTAACTTCTCAACAGAAGCAATGGAAGCCAGAAGACAGTGGAATATTTTTAAACTGCTAAAATAAAATAACTCCAGTTCAGAACACTGTACCCAGTGAAAGTGTCTTTTAAAAAAAATGAAAGGAGCCGGGCTCGGTGGCTCAGCCTGTAATCTTGCGCCTTGGGTGGCTGAGGTGAGTGAATTGCCTGCGCCCGCGGGTTCGAGACCTGCCTAGGCAACTTGGTGAGACCTCATCTCTATAATAAATCAAAAATCAGCCGGGCGTGGTAGTGCGCACCTGTAGTTCCAGCTACTTGGAAGGCTGAGGCGGAAGGATCGCCGGAGCCCAGCAGTCGAGGCTGCGGTGGCCGGGAGCGGCCACTGCACTCCAGTCTGGGCGACAGAGTGAGACTCCAACTCAAAAAAAAAAAAATGAAAGGGAGGAAAATATATTTTCAAACAAAAATATGAATCCACTGATAGAAGACATACTAAACACACACACTCATGCACACACATGTAAATTCTTAAGGCAGATGGAAAAAGATTCCACATGGCAATAGGAAGAAATGAATAGCACTACAGGATACATCTGTAGGAAACTTAAAACACCCAGAAAGTGTTAAGAAGAGCCAATTTAAAGTACACTAAGTCATGCATGCATGTTGGAATCTTTAGGACTATTAAAAGAGTAATAGAAGGAATGAAATAGTATAATAGAAAAAATACTTTAATCCAAAAGAAAGCAAAAACAGAGATAAAAATGAAGAAAAAGTTGGTACAAAGGAGAAAATAATAGAAACAAATATTTCAATTATTTTTAGACAAAATTTCAGACTAGATAAATTTAAGGAGAGAATTAATGGGTACACACAGCTTATGAGAGAGATAACTTCAATATAAGAACACGGAAAAGTTGAAAATAAAAGAGTAAAAAAAAGTTATGCAAATACTAAGACAGTTGATGTAGTCATTTTAATATGTGACAAAGCACTTAAGCAGCAACAAAACAGAAAGCAGATACCTAATAAGATTTTTTTAAAAATTAATAAATCCAAAACTGCTTCTTTGAAGAGATTAATAAAATTTATAAGTCCCAACAAGGTTGATATATGTACACAGAATTAAGAATGGAAGGAAATATCCCAAAATATAAAATATAATCATGTCTACATAGTGCAAATAGAGATTAATTTGCATTTTCTTCTATACTTCTCTGAGTTTTCTAAATGTTCTGTCAATAAGCTGTTTAAAAGTATCAACTCCATGGTATGAAATATAGCTCTAGTAAACTTACCTGGCAGCCAGAGAATAAATAGCATTAGCAGATGAGGAAGGTTTGATTTTGGGGTGCTCACCCTCTGGACCTACTAATGGACTGCTATTCACATTCTGAAAAGTAAAGAAAAGTGTTAAAAAAAAAAAGAACCTCCTTACAAAAACATAGGCACAGATCTCACCTCACTCCTAATGCTGTGCCTAGGGGTTACGACATCTTTTCTTTTTAGACGGAGTCTCACTCTGTTGACCAGACTGGAGTGCAATGTCATGATCATACCTCACTACAGCCTCAAAATCCTATTCACGTCCCTCTCATCTAGTGTTTATAGTGTTTATGCTCCTTTCTAGTCCTTTCTCCTACTCTGATACACAAAGGTTCTGCTCTGCTTAAATTAACCTGTCATTCTGCAACATACCTTAAGCATTTCTGTCACTGTGTCTCTTATCTACCTTAAATTTGTATACACTTTCCAAAGAATAGTTCAGATTCACATGCCATTTTTCCATAAGTTCCTCATGATTACTCTATCGAGGAATAATCTCTCCTTTCTCTAAAATGTAAACGTTTTCTAGTTATATTTATACACGGCATTGATAAAAGGACATTTACTGTAATATTTGCAAATGGTCTCATCTGCCTTATTAAGATACATACTTCTTGAGGGTAGGGATTATTTTATATCATCTCTGAATTCTGTACAAAACTCTGACTCATAAAATGTCATCCACAAATACTTGTTAATAGGTCAAATACTTTCAAAATTAGGACTCACCATGGAGGTATCCAGACTGAATGTGCTTCCAAGCCTAGGCACATCTGCTCGGGGTTCCATTTGTGAAGGCAATGAAAATGGAAGTGAGTGCCGGTTGGTTAATTCTCTTCCTGTCCAAGGATCATTGGGACTTGGAGCAGCTACTGGTACTTTAGGGATTGGCCGAGGAAGCCATGAGTCCCCAAGGCGGTTAGAGGGAACAGGAGGAAGTTTGTCCCTGGATGGACAATCGCCTGGTGTACAAGGCAGAGGGCGTCTCTGAGGTCGAGTTTCTGCTCCCACAGAATATGGCCTGTCTGGAGGAGGTGGTGGTGGAAGATCCCGAAGTGTGGGAGGTACTGGCAATGGTTTGTCCTTATGAAGGGAGCCAGAAGCGGTCTGTGGAAACATGATGGAAGCATATCAATCAAAACCCACTAATGCACAACAAAGAATCAGAAAACTACAGAAATAATAAAAGATAATGCTTTACCTTAGAAGCAGTTCCAAGACCAGCAGTACTTGAAGGAGCACATACTCGCTGTGGCAGAAGATCAAGTCGTGGTGGCACTGGGGGAAGGGATGCTTGTGGGGTCATGGAGAACGGAGAGGGAGGCCGTTCCACCTAGAACAAATACAGTTTCTTAACAGGTTACTCTAGTTCGGGAAATTGTCATCTTTTAACTCTTCTTAAAGCTGCAGATGGCAAATACCATGCAAACACTGAGTATAACTGCCAATGGGCCGGATTTAGGTTTCCGGTCACACAAACCCCTCTTAAAAAGCTCAAACTTCCAGAGATTCTAGCACTTCCTGAAGTATCTGTGTGTCACCATAAGAGGGCACTCTTAATCACAGAAATATATGAACAGCAAACTACAGGCAAACATCCAGAATTGACAGTGTTGCAAAACGCTTCCAAGTTTATAATTTTTTAAATTATTACAATTGTATATCTCCTCATCTTTGGAAAAAGAAAAAAAATACTTTCAAGATTAAAAATAGGAACCCATATCAAAAGAAAAGGGCAGATATTAACCTTTCAAGAAATCACCTGAGAAAATAAAGGTTAAGGAGCAGAATAAAGAAATCAAAGATGATAAATTCTCTGTGGGTTATTATGATAATAAAAAAGATGAGATGTGTGAGAAGAAAATGATCAGCAACATCACTAGAAAACACCTTGAGTTCTTCCAAATAAATAATTTCAATTCAGTAATTTAAAGGAACCGATATTTTCTTGTCAATTTGAGTTTCAAAAAGTGAGATGCCAAATTAGAACAAGGAATAATGTATAACCTCTTCCATTTCCCTGCCAAGAGCAGCTGAAAAGCTTGTCAAAGTTGTCACAAGATAGATGCATAGTAATCATACAAAATGTTACTTTGCATTTAAATTTCCCAACAGGAAGCAATACTAATGGAATAGAGGCAAACACATATTATAAGCACATAGTAAGAGGACAGGAAGAAACCATCCCCATGTCGGTAAGTCCTGTTAGTAGTGCTGGGTGGTGAATAAGGGTTTGATAGAAACCCCTCGTCTTTAGCTACTTACTTTTTACTCAGGCTTAAGAAAATGGGCTCCCTATCAGCTGGCAACACAGCATGAGTAGCTAAACATCTACTACAAAAGTCTAAAGGTATTAGTCACTAACTCTCACTTCATTGTCAACATTTAGTCAGTCACTGACTACATACATCCTGCAGATTTTCCCCAAAAGAATCTCATATTTGTACCTTTCTTTGCATTCTACTTAAATCCACACTTGATTTATTTAAAACAAAAAACAAAAAAAACCTTCTAGTGATCCTCCTGACTTACAGTTTCTCACCAAATCCTTTTGCTTACCACTATCAGCTTAGCAACTCAAAAACCATCAGGAACTCCCAATTTCCCTTGTCACAAAATCTCTCTCTCTTGTTTGGCTTTCACAGGTTTTTTTTGTCTGGTCTCTGCAACCAACAGTGTTTCCCACAACTCTGTTAATAGGTAGCAGTGCTGTTCTAGACAGGCTCATCTTGGGAAGATGAGCCTGTCTAGAACAGCACTGTGGCTATGATTATTCTGACCTCTGTGCCTTTCTTTAAGTCATTTCCCCAGTCTGGAAGGCCCTCTCTTCACACCATTCCTAAGTGCAGAGGGTTGAGCTAATCATATTCTTCAGCTCAGAGCTCAACATTAACTGATCCCTGCAATATTCTTGTATCCTAACATATACAGTTTCAGAAAAGGAAATAACATAAATGGAAAATAAATTATCAGAGAAATACTGCAAGCACATTTCTAAGACCTGAGGAACATAAATATCTTTTTTTTTTGAGTTGGAGTCTCACTCCATCGCCTAGACTGGAGTGCAGTGGCACGCTCCCAGCCACTGCAGCCTCGACCCGCTGGGCTCCTGAGATAAAATCCGCCTCAGCCTTCCAAGTAGCCTGAATTACAGGTGGTAGCGCATGCCTGTAATTCCAGCTACTCGGACGGCTGAGGTGGAAGGATCACCGGAGCCCAGCAGGTCGAGGCTGTGGTGGCCGGGAGCGGCCACTGCACTCCAGTCTGGGCGACAGAGTGAGACTCCAACTCAAAAAAAATAAAAATAAAAATAAATAAAAAGGGGTTTATTATGTACCCAGTTCAACGAAGGAAAAGAAACCCCTAACAAGCAAACTAACCAAAAAGACCCCTACATTTTTCAGCAAATCAAGAATAAGAAAAATATCCTAAAAGTATCTGGGGATTGAGGGAAAGGGGACACCAAAGAACAAAAATATATTAGAAGCTAGAAGTCAATGAAGCCTTAACAAGTTGAAGCTGGATAGTTTTCCACTTAGAATTCTCTAACTAGGCAACTCACGTTGAGGGATGAATAAAGGCATTTTAAAATAAAGGTAGCCAGAGCAGTGGCTCATGCCTGTAATTCCAGCACTTTGGGAGGCTAAGGCGAGAGGATAGTCTGAGCCCAGGGGTTCAAGACCAGCCTGGGCAACTTGGCAAGACCTCATCTCTACAATAAATCAAAAAATTAGCCAGGCATGGTGGTGAGCACCTGCAGTTCCAGTCACTTGGAAGGCTAAGGTGGAAGGATCAGCTGAGCCCAGCAGGTTGAGGCTGCAGTGGCCATAAGCGTGCCACTGCACTCCAGCCTGGGCGACAAAGTGAGTCTCCAACTCAGGGAAAAAAAAAAAAAAAGTCTCAAAAGTTTACCTCTCATCTTTTCACAGAAAGCTATTTTTTAGGACAAATTTTAGTATCTGTCAAAAAAGTTACATTTCCACTCAAATACTTTATTCATAAAAAGTATTTAATGAACTATAAGGCATACAAAATAACGAAATAAAACATATTTACTACCCTTCTAAGAGAATACCACTGTCTTTGTTACATTCCCCATGTGCCCCTCCCTTAATTATATCCTTTACCACTACAGAATTTAAATACACACTCTCTTATCCAGCAATTTCACTGCTAAAAATTGGCACTACTGATAGACTTGCAAAAGTATGCCAATATGTATAAGCCCGGAAACATGAATTCCATTAAGAAGAGACAAACCACAGAACAGTCAAATGACAATACAATACATGAAACTGGGTTTTTTCTCCCCACTATTTGAATTTCTACACAGCTAAGGGAAAAGTGTTCATTTTCTTCTTTCTTCTAAACTCCTATGCTACACTTAGTATGTACCCAACAATTTAGAACAATGTTCACTGTCTACTTTGTGCTGAGTAGTGTTTCACCTGCATATATATATCCTATTCCTAAATAAAACTACTAGCTCTCTAAGAGCCTTGTTTCAAGACTTCTTGTCCCAGACAGCATTCAACACTGAGCTACTTATCTAGCACAATAAACACCTTGCAAAAGCAGTATGAGTTAACTGTCAAAATTTCAAACATTCTACAAAATTGAAGTCCTCTGAACTTCTATGCTCAGAAATAACAGTAGGCCGCCATTAGGGTGAGACCTGGAAGTGACAGATGATGGTTAGCCACTGGCCCGCACTGGTTCACTGTGTGCAAACTGAACAGGCGATCAGATAAGGTCATATACCCTCTCCAGGGTGCGACACCCTAGGCGGGGCCCCTAGGTGCTGCAACCTTGGGTGGGAACAACCGTTTTTTTGATTTTTTTTCCCCCCTCCCATTCCCCTCCCCCATCCACATCCTGCAATGGGCCAGGCGATTGGAGAGGTCATCCCAGTGGGTGCTGCAGCCCAGGTGAGCTGCCGGTCGCTGTCCTCTGGCCTCCCTAACTGCAGGCTCATGGGCCTCCCTCCCTCTTTCCCCCTAAGTGTTTGGTCTTTCTGCAAGGGGGTGGGGGAAGAGGGGGCAAAGGAAAAAAAGAAATGACAGTAAATAATTTGGTGTGCACTTACCCAATTTTCCTTGCTATGTATTAAAAGGGTTTTTTTTAAAGAAATGAGTACACATGTTGCTTTTTAAACCTTATACACACCAGACAGCTTTCTGCTTAAGTAAATGTAAATTGAACTCATTCTGCAGAGCATCCCATTACACAGATTGTGGTAAGCAGAATAATGGTCTCCCAAAGGTGTTCATGTCCTACTTCCCCAAACCTGTGAATATATAACCTTACTCGGCAAAAAGTACTTTGCTGATGTGATTGAGGATATGAATCATGAGATAGGGAAAATATCTTAGATAATCTGAGTGGGTCCAAACAAGTGATGTGAGTCATTAAAAGTAGAAAATCAGGCGGGCTTGGTGGCTCAGCCTGTAATCCCGCGCCTTTGGGAGGCTGAGGTGAGTGGACTGCCTGAGCCCGCGGGTTCGAGACACGCCTGGGCAGGCGAGACCTCATCTCTACAATAAATCAAAAATCAGCCGGACGTGGTAGCGCGCGCCTGTAATTCCGACTACTCGGAAGGCTGAGGCGGAAGGATCGCCGGAGCCCAGCAGGTCGAGGCTGCGGTGGCCGGAAGCAGCCACTGCACTCCAGTCTGGGCGACAGAGTGAGACTCCAACTCAAAAAAAAAAAAAAGGAGAAAATCTCAAAAAGGTTAAGACTGAAAGAAGAGGAATGGAGTCCAGGAAACAAAGAATGAGGCTGGCTCCTAGATGCTGGGAACAGAAATTAGCTAGGCACAGAAGCTCACGCCTGTAGTTCCAGTTACTTGGAAGGCTGAGGTGGAAGGATAGCCTGAGTCCAGCAGGTTGAGGCTGTGTGGATGTAAGTGTATCACTGCACTCTAGCCTGGGTGATAGGGTGAGACTTTGATTAAAAAAAAAAAAGCTGGAAACTGCTATCAGTTGAAATCCAGCAAGGAACATGGGACCTTAATCATACAACTGCAATGAACTAAATCCTGCCAAGTCCAAAAGAGTAAGAAATCATCCTCCCTTACAGCCTACAGAAAGAAACACAAACCTGCCAAAACCCTGATTTTATCTCAGAGAGACATGGATGGGACTTCTGACCTAAACAACAATAAGATAATAAATTTGTGCTATTTAAAGCTGCTAAATTTGTAGTAATTTGTTATGGTAGTAATAGACTACTAACACAAGGATGGATGGATGGATCAATTTTTTTCAACTGAAGAACATATGGGTTGTTTCTCATTTTTTATTATTACAAAAAAAAAAGCTATAAGAATAAATTACATCTATGTCTTTGTGCTTTGCCTATCTTTTTTTTTTTTTTTTAAGAGTTGGAGTCTCACTCTGTCACCCAGATGGAGTGCAGTGGCCGGTCCCAGCCACCGCAGCCTTGACCTGCTGGGCTCTGGCAATCCTTCCACTTCAGCCTTCCGTGTAGCTGAAACTACAGGCGCGTGCTACCACACCCGGCTCATTTTTTGATTTATTGTAGGGATCTTGCCAAGTTGCCCAGGTGGGTCTTGAACCCGCGGGCTCAGGCAATCCACTCACCTCGGCCTCCCAAAGGCACAGGATTACAGACTGAGCCGAGCCCGGCTGCTCTATTTTTTAAGATAAATTCCTAAGAGTGGATTTGCTAATTCAAACTAAACTTACAGAGATAGATGTGAAACTGTCCTTCAAAAAGATGGAACTAACCTGTACCCACATCACCAATGAATGAGTACCTATTTCTCTCTAATGAGTATATTACCTGTTCTAAAATTCCATGAAAAAAAGGATATTTTAATTTCAAATCAATACACACATGAATGATCACTTCTTTAACTTATTCAGCTTCCCTAACATTGCAGGAGTTACCAGTACACTTTTTTTATTTTTTTGAATCAGGGCCTCACTCTGTTGCCCAGGCTGGCATGGAGGCACACTTCCATCTCACCATAGCCTCAACCTCCTGAACTCAGGTGATCCTTTCACCTCAGCCTCCAGAGCAGCTGGGACTACAGGCATGCATCACCACACTCACCTAACTTTAAAAAAATTTTTTGTAGAGACATGGTCTTGGTTTGTTACCCAGGCTGATTCAAACTCTTGGCCTCAAGCAATCCTCCAGTCTCAGTCTCCCAAAGTGCTGGGATTACAGGTGTGAGCCACCATGCCCAGCACTAGCCAATAAACTTTTAATGAACGAACAGACAGCAATCTATTTAAGAATATAAAACTGCTTCAGGGGTCAAATGAAATCTCTTAAAATGCTGCCTAAGCACCAGTTATAAGGGGCCACGGTTAACTATTGTCAACTTCAAATTATCAACAATGTACCACTCAAACAATCAAGATTTCTTCAATCGCTCATTACTGACCTAGCATTGAGAAATGTATCAAACTCTGCTTTATAGTATTTTCAATTCCAGTCAAACACAGAAAGAAATTACTATGTACTCAACTTTGAGCAGCTAACGCCAAATAAGATATGCCTCCTGTCTTCTAGGAACTTACAAGGAGAAATATTTTTAATAAAATATTACAAGATGATAAGCTGTATGGCAGACATATTCACAGGGTGCCAGAAACACTTGGCCAGACCTAGATTATATGTGTGAACTAGGGGTGGGAGGAGCAGGGTGCAGTCTGGAAAGGTTCCTAGGAGATTTAGGCTGAATCAAATTACAAAGAAACTGTCAAGACAAAGCCGGGAGAAATTCTAAGTGGTTTAGCTCTGCTAGACCAGAAAATACAAAGTGGAAAGGAACATCAAGCAAAGTGCCTGGAAGGGAGAAGGAGCTAACTCATTAAGTAACAAGAAATCAGCAAAGTGTGGGAGGAGAAGCTGGGAGCTGAGGCTCACGCCTATAATCCCAGCACTTTGGGAGGCTGAGGTGAGAGGACTGCCTGAGCTCACCAGTTTGTGACCAGCCCAGGCAGCTTGGCAAGACCTCATCTCTACAATAAATAAATTTTAAAAAATTAGCTGAGTGTGGTGGCGCATGCCTGTAGTTACAGCTACTTGGAGGACTGAGGTGGAAGGATTGCCCGAACCCAGCAGGTCGAGGCTGCAGTGGCTGTGAATGTGCCACTGCACTTCAGCTTGGGCAACAAAGTGAGACTCCAACTCAGAAAAAACAAAACAAAATCAAACAGAAATATGGGAGGAGGTAAAAGAATGAGATGGTCACATTTGTGTTATAGATCAATGACTCTGGTTGGGGAAGAACAGATGTGATAAGAGCCTAAAATAAGGCAAGATAAACTGGATACAATCATTTTAAGAGATAAAATCCATTCTTTCAAAACATGTTTACTGAACACTTACTATGTGTCAGGCAGTCAGATGCTGATATAAAAGAAAATGCATCCTATGAATTCAAATCATGCTAAACTAGAAAATCTATAGCATATTGTAACTGTTTGTCCTATATTTATGACAATCTTCAAGAACTGCCTTACTTCCAAGATTTAGTGAATAAATTGTTTTATCATACTCTCTATGTAACAGAATGGCATTCATTCATTCATTATTGAAAGACAGGGTCTTATTCTGTCTCCCAGGTCAGAGTGTTTCACTACAGCCTTGAACTCCTAGGCTCAAAAGCAATCTTCCCACCTCAGCCTCCCAAGTAGCTTGAGTATAGGCACGAGCCGCCAGGCCCGGCTAATTTTTTCATTTTTACAGAGGTAGGGTCTCACTTTGTTGCCCAGGCTGGTCTCAAACTCCTGGGCTTAAGCGATCCTCCTGCCTCGGTCTCAAAATGTTGGGATTACAGACATGAGCCACAATGCTTCTCCTGTTCTACGGCTTTAGAACACAACTCATGAAGGATTTTGCCAGTCTCCTAAATTGCGGTCTTACCTTGGCACCAGCCAATTCCTTCATCATGAAGAGAGAATCATCAGCTCGTTCATCGTCATCGTCGTCATAATTTGGAGAGGGAGCTCCCTCTGCTCCTTGCCTCAACAGGCTGCCACTTCCTCTGGGATCAAATGGATCTACCACAATGGGCTCGGTACCTTTAATTTCACATCGGCAGAAAGGGCAGCCCTGACCTTCTGATTCCTGCAGAGAAAGCAAAAGATGGTAACAGATACATCTGTAAGTTCTTAAAATATTCATCTACTAGAAAACATACTTCCTAGAGGTTTTAAAAAATTAAAGGTTTAAAACACCCCCACAAACCAGGCCACCCTTCACGTCTGTAAAGGATACACAATACCCAATTCTCCAGAGCAATTACACAGCTGAGAAAATGTATAGTTTGGATCCATACCTGCCAGGATGTAAGACAGGATGTGCACATGAGGTGTCCACAAGGTTCGATCTTTACATCCTTATCATTTTCAGCACATATTTTACATAGTTGGAACGTAGAGCCCATCTCACAGTATAATTCATATTGTTCCTTTGATTAAAAAAAGTTAAAAGACTATTTGTTGAATGAATCAACAATTGCAATTGTAAATGCTAACAAAAGAAAACCAAAGGCTGTTATTTTTCACACAAATTTTATCTGTATAAAAATGTCACAATAGTGGTTCATCTTCTCCCATTAATCCAGAAAGTATCTAATCTTAGTCCCATTTTATGCTCCATGGTTTTAAGAAAAATCCTACACACTCAAATTCAATAGTCTAGTCCATGGTTTAAAATTAAAATGTCCCAATCACTTAATTCAAATATGCTGTCAGCTCTATAAAATACATACAAAAGCTCGGCTCCAGTGATGTGGCTAAAATATGATGCAAAGCCCACCTGGGTCACTTTGATGTGGTCTTGGGGAGTTGGTTCACATAAGCCTGTCAGATCAGGGTTCTGATTTCGTCCATCAGGAAACAAATAGCTGTAAAAAGTAACCAACCTTGGGGTTTTATTGAAGTCCATTTATCAGTGCTTGCTACTATAGACAAATGATATTAGATATCATGGAGTTCCCCCATTCTAAAAGGGTAGCAACTTTGTACAAGTTTAAAGATAAATCTTACTAATACTTCAAAGAAATAACACAGAATAGTTCCAAAAAGATATTCTTCAGACAATGATAGTCCTTCTCCAGAGAACAATGCCACAGGATCTATCTTTTCATCGTGGGGTTGGCAAACTTTTGCAGTAAAGGGCCAGAGAGTCAATAGTTTAGGCTTTGCAGGCCACATAAGTCTATGTCACATTTTCTTCTCTGGCTGCTGTTTTGTAAAACAACACTTAGGCTCACAACACTATCCTGGCTCACAGACTGTACCCACAACAGCTGGCCCTTAGGCCACAATTTGCCAACCCCCATTTTAACCAATGAAGGACAAGATATAAATTCCTAATTTAAATTGCATTTGCTTTTGACCAAAGACCTAAAATACCTATGCTTATAGGTTTAACAAAATAAGAGACACCAATGTGAAAGTACTGTAACAAGATGCAAATTAAGCCACTGAGGTCATCTACCAGGGAGATGTGCAGTTTCGCTAATCAAACTGTTCTCCATTTGGGGCAGCACCTCTTCCAGCTCCAAAGCAAATGTAGAAGATGATGCAATTTTTCTAATTATTTTAAAACACAAGCTAGCTTTCGGCTACATGGTCAACTGTTAGTAATTTTTGTGCTTACTGATTGATGATCAATTTGAATTCACAAAGGAATAACAATTCTGGAATAAATAAGGACTCAGTCATAAATGTCAGCACAGGATACAAAAGTCTAAAGCCTGAAGAAATGCTGCTAAACCAAAATGAAGTGAGGATGAAAGCAAATGCAGGCCACTGAGGCCTGCTGTCATTAGGAACATCTAAATCACTCAAATGTTAGCTAGTTAAAAAAACTGGTCAAATTTCCTGTTAACTAGTATGTTTTCAAATCTACTATAGACTTAAAAGTACATTACTATTTGGAAAACGAGAAAGATTAAGTTTACTCAAGGTAATAACTGACACAGCAGAGAAAAACAATTTCACTCACAGAATCTCTATCAGATACAAATAAAAGTCCTACAGGATCCAAAGGTAAATTTATATAGCCTGTTAATATGTTTCTTGAATCTTAATCTGTAGAATAAATCTGGAATAAAGTCCTTAATGATGAAGTTTTATAGCCCCTAAATTCCTAGACTCTAGCAGATGGTAAACAGTAGGTACTCACAAGCCTTCCCTGAAGCCATCAATCAGTGCTTGGAAGAGAGGTTTATTGTGAGGGATTGTCTGGAGAATGTTTCCATCAGCAGTGACATACCCGATAGCCCACTGACCCAGACGAGTACAGCTCAGCCGGAAGATGTAACTATGAACAGAGATAAACAGAAACTGTAATAGGTATGCTGATATTAGGGTAGAAGGCGAGCCAGAGACAAAAATCAAAAGAACCATCAAGAACAACTTTGTCAGTCGGGCTCGGTGGCTCAGCCTGTAATCCTGCGCCTTTGGGAGGCTGAGGTGAGTGGATTGCCTGAGCCCACGGGTTCGAGACCCGCCTGGGCAGGCGAGACCTCATCACTACAATAAATCAAAAAATTAGCCAGGCGTGGTAGCACACTTCTGTAATTCCGGCTACTTGGAAGGCTGAGGCGGAAGGATTGCTGGAGCCCAGCAGGTCGAGGCTGCGGTGGCCGGGAGCAGCCACTGCACTCCAGTCTAGGCGACAGAGTGAGACTCCAACTCAAAAAAAAAAGAACAACTTTTGTCAATGACTCCAGACCAGAAGCAAAGAACTTTAAACCAATTCTTAAGAGGCCTGAAAGTATTTATGAAATCATAGAGTCTGAATAAGTTAATTCCTCTGATAAACAGACATCAACCCTACTGCAAAACCCTGGTTATTGGGGAACTATTAATTAAAGATTTTTTGTCTATTCTAGCACAAGTTGCAAAAGAACAAAATTCAGGATAATAAATCTCTTTCCTTTACAGAACTGACCTGCCAGGTTTGTGAATGAATTTCTGAAGCCGAGCTTTCACTTCGTCATATGTCAGAAAAGCCATGTAACCAGGATGAGTTACAGCAAGGCTGTTCCAGTTCCTGAGCAAAGAGGACCAGGGCTAAAGAAAGAAAACATTGATCAGATACTAATCAGTGCAGACATACAATCAGCCTGAGCAATAAAAAACGAAAAACAATCATATCCTCAATTCACTGTTACAAATTCTTAGTTATATCATCACTCTGAAGAAAGACAAACATGTTTGGGAAATAAAAATTTGGAAATCCTAAGAAAAAAGAATACATGCTTATATGGAGAAATTAACTATACAAAATTAAATTCTAGAATTTGTAAAGCAGCTCTAACAGTAATGCAACTGAACAACAACAAACAGAAAAGGGCCTACATATGCAACTAATAAGTTCCAAGTAGATATTTATGAAAGCTAGCATATACATGCTGGAGAAAGTATACTTTTACAGAAATAAGTAATATAATTTCTTTTGAAATATTAATACTCGCAACAGTAACATCAAGAATTTCTGGAAAGGCAAGGTGGCTCAAGCCTGTAATCCTAGCACTTTGGGAGGCCAAGGTGGGAGAATTGCTTGAGCCCAGGACTCAAGACTAGCCTGGGTAACACAGCAAGACCTTGTCTCCACAAAAAATTTAAAAATTAACCAGGCATGGTTGCATGTGCCTGTAGTCCCAGCTACTTGAGAAGCTGAGGCTGAAGGATCACCTGAGTCCAGAAGGTTGAGGCTGCAGTGAGCTGGGATCATATCATGTACTCCAGCCTGGACAACAGAGTAAGATCCCAAATTAAAAACATAAAACAAAACAATTGTCTAGTTTCTAAAATGAATTAAAATATTTTAGTAATAGACAAAACCTCCAACGTTTTTGTTTTTGTTTTGAGTTGGAGTCTCACTCTGTCACCCAGACTGGAGTACAGTGGCCGCTCCTGGTCACTGCAGCCTCAACCCACTGGGCTCCGACAATCCTTCTGCCTCAGCCTTCCAAGTAGCCGAATTACAGGCATGCGCTACCACGCCCAGTTGATTTTTTGATTTATTGTAGAGATGCGGTCTCGCCAAGTTGTCCAGGTGAGTCTTGAACCCGCGAGCTCAGGCAATCCACTCACCTCAGCCTCCCAAAGCGCGAGATTACAGGCTGCGCCACCGAGCCTGGCTGTTTTGGTTTTTTTTAATGCTTTCTCTTCAGAAAAGTAGCCGGAAGCAGTTTAGTCAACTTTTTTAGTATCCTACCTGAAAGAGGCGTGTAAAGATGTCAAATTCAAAAACTGAAATATAATCATTGCAGGTCAGATCAATAGTGGATTTCAGAGCCATGGCCTCCAGCCCAGAACTTATGGGATGTACTTCATGCAGGGCCTGTCGAAAGCTCTTCCAAGGGACTATTGTCCTGGGGTGGGGGTGGAAAGGAGGCACAAAGTGAGATAACAAGAGATAATTCCAGGCACTGCTATAATTAAAGGAAAGAGTTATATTAAGCTCTCAATATAAAATTCAATTCTCTTAAAGAAGCTGAGCTATATTTTGGATTGAAAATAGAATAAAGGGAATAAGAACTATATTAACTTTCTAAGGAATAAATTAGTAACAGAGAAGTTTTTTTCCACTATTCTTTGGCAAACTGTCACAAATTAATCCCCTTCTCTTCTTTCTTCAGGCACTTTGAAGCATGGAAAGAGAGTTGAGGTTATCCACTTTCTATAATAAATATAATCATTGGACAGACCATTACTATCTATCTAAAAGCTTGCATTTAAACTTTTTTTTTTTTTAAGAGATGAGATCTCACTATGTTGCCTAGGCAGTGGCTAGTTATAGGCACAATCACAGCCCTTAGCTCATGGGCTCAAGCAATCCTCCTGCCTCCCAAGTAGCTTGGACTACATGCATGTGCTACTGTGCCCTACTAAATCAACTTGTTCAAAGCCTGGAAAACATTCTGTGGAAAAAACATTTTATTTGAGGAACCCACACTGTCCAAGTAGACAAAATAGCCATAAGGTACAGGAAGTACAGGAAAAAACACAGTTCTGACGGAGATGAATAAATTATTTAGTAATGTAGGAGTAATAAAACCTCAGATAGCAGGATAGGTGCAGTGGCACACATCTGTAATCCCAGTACTTTGGGAGGCCAAAGCAGGATTGATTAAGCCCAGGAGTTTAAGACCAGCCTCAGAAACATACCAAGACCTCATCTCTATAAAAATTATTCTTTTTTAAATCAGATAAAGCCAGCAGGAGATATAAAATTTATTTCTCAAGATCTTTAAAATAAACACAATCTCATTGCCTTTGGAAAGCTTGTATATTCATCTGCCTGAAAATAAGAGATCAAATGATGTCTTAAAGTCTTGACTTTTTTTTTTTTGAGACAGGGTCTCATTCTGTCTCCCAGGGTGGAGTACAGTGGCATGATCACAGCTCATTGCAGCATTAAGCTCCTGGGATCAAGCAACCCTACCGCCTCAGTCTTTTGAGTAGCTGAGAGTAGAGTGCAAGCTATCACACCCAGCTAATTTTTAAATTTTTTGTAGACATAGTATCTAGCTATGTTGCCCAGACTGGTCGTGAACTCCTTGCATGAGCCAACACACCCAGTCTTGAAGTCTTTTCTAATGTAGTTAAATTGAAGAAATAAAGTTAAACTTATTCCTATCCTTTTCAAATTGCTCTCAAATTGCTAATCAGTCCATATTTTACAGACAAAACATGATTCTACAAACAATAAAGGCCTTTTAGTCAGGGGTGGTAGCTCACACCCACAATCCCAGCACTGTGAGAGATGGAGGCAAGAGGACTGCCTGAGCCTAGGGATTCGAGACCAGCTTGGGCAACTGGGTGAGACCTTGTCTCTACAGTAAAATTTTAAAAATTAGCTGCACGTAGTGGCATGCACCTCTGGTTCCAGTTAATCAAAAGGCTGAGGTGGAAGGATCCCCTAAACCCAGCAGGTCCAAGGTCCAGGCTGCAATGGCTGTGAGTGTGCCACTTGCACTCCAGCCTGGGCGACAGAGTGAGACTTCAACTCAGAAAAAAGAAAAGTTTTAAAGAGAAATTTACATATATACCTCTACATCTTCAACTGAAAAGAACTTCAAATCTGCCTATATGATGTATATAAAGATAATATAACAAAATAGAAAAGACAAGACTGGGAGAAGACATTGGTAATGCAAGTAACTAACGAAGAATTCATATCCGACAATAAGAAAAAGACAATTCAACAGAAAAATGGGTAAGTCAGGAATAGGAATAGACAAGTCAGAATAAGAATCTTGACTGGTCATGAATGTGAAGAGATGCTCAACCTCCCTTGTCATCAGGGATTATAAAGCAAAATGATATCAATTCACATGACTGGTGTTACCGAAATTGTGGAGCTACTGAATGCTTGTGTACTACTGATGGGAACATAAGCTGGTACAACCACTTTGAAATGCAATTAGGCAATACTAAACAAAGCAAAATATGTGAAAACCCACAATTGAGCAATTCCTCTCCTAGATGTGTAACTAAGGAGAAATTCTTTCATATGATGACAGCTAAGATACGATCCACTACCCATAGCAAATAATTTGAAATGTAAACACCCAAGAACAGCAAAATGGTGAGAGAAAGAGAAGAATATTCAAAGAATAGGGGTTTCAACTGAATCTGTGAAGCTTTATTTCTTTAAAAACACGAATACGGCAAAAAATGTTAATATTTACTAAAGTTAAGAAATAGGTATGCATATATCCATTATCTTTCTCAAGTTTTCCCATGTTTTAAATATTTCATTAATAAAAAACTAAAGAACTCATAAGTTTTCATCTTTCATAGTTCAAATTCATTATTTGAGACTTACTTTTCCCCAAAAGCTTTTCTCCAAAATTCCGCAGCATCTGCTTTGGTAATCCGAAATGTATCTCCTTGAAAGAGTCCACTTGGAAAGATTCCTTTTAGTTCTGCCAGCATATGGCTAAAGATCAGGGACAGTTTGGTTAGGTTTCGCCTACAAATAATCAGAAATGCAATAATTAAACAAAAACATAAAATTATTTTTATTTTAAATTCACCATACAAGATAGATTAATATGAACATTAAAATATACTTAGAAAGAACTTGAAACATACTTTCTGGCAAATATTATTCAAAGAGATACAGAACTAGGGAAGAAAGAGAAAAAAAATGTGCTGCTGATAATATTACATACTCTGTGGCATTGTTATGTTTGCTCAAAGAAGGGCTTCAGAAAATGTTTTGCTTAACATCATATGATAGATGCAAATTTTTTTTTTTTTTTTTTTTTTTTTGGAGT